GTAACATCATGTGCTACGAGTGCTCGTCGTGGACCCACCCACTCTGCGAGGACCCCTTCAACTTCACCCTCTCCCTGGAGAAGGGTCCTCCTGTCGAATCCTGCGACGGCTGCTGCGTCAAGCTGGTCCAGAACATAGGCACGCGTGAGTGGCCCCGACCCTCCTCGTCCTACTGACATTATTTACCTCCTCAAAACACACTCAATTTTGCATTAATACTGACGCTTCACAGTTGTCAATTGAACAACTGTTGCATGCATTGTTGCAACACAAACATCAATACTAAAGGTTTTGTTTTGTTTATTTTGTATAAGGAATGGTAACCAGTTCAACCTAATTTCCTCCCCCCCTAGGCGTTATTAAGTTAATAAATGTATTACGATTGCATCTATTAGGCCTGAGATGGTTCATTTAGGCCTAGGGGCAGGTTAATCTTTTTTTTTAACATTGGAACATTTTATGCACCGGTCTAGATAGATTAGGTGGACAGGCCTGCAGTGTTGGGTATCTGGGACTTCAACTCAAATATAAGAATATTTAATTGAGAGAATTAATATACTCGAAGGACCTCCCACTTTTGAGAAAAGAGGGAAAACAAATAAAGGGATTATAAGACTGGCACTGTAGAACCAGTGCCTATGTGTGTTAGATTATTTAACAATCATTTAAAGCGAATGAATGGACTGTAATAATAATTAATTGAGAGCTAAAAGCCTCAAACATCAACACTGGAGTTATTACTAGAAATTCATATATATATATATCTAGGAACCAGTGTTGTTCGTCACGAGTTCATTAATGAGGTTAGTAAAGGTTATAGAATCTTGAATCGAATGTAGATTCTAAAAGATTATGAAATAATAAATGATAAATTCTATGAAATATTAATAAATTCTTAGAAATAATACATGCAAACTTATTGAGTACTGAGCAGTAAATTATTGACTTATATTACTCCTCTTAAACATTATATGCATGGAAACACATACTAAAATTAATAATGATAATAGTCAAATATTCTACGAAACGTGATTTGTGTCTTGGCTGTGAGACGACCCCACTAAACCCGTCTCACTACTCGTAGTCGTGATCACAAGGTCCCGATAAGGAAGAAACACCCGTGGTGAACACCGCAGGTGGAGGAAGGAAGGCCTGGTTCCTCCTCACCTACACGGCTGTAATCAGGGGAAATTTGAGTAACATTTGACTAGGCTAGAAAATTATTCCAATATTCACTGAAATTGGAAAATAGTTAAATGAAACTAACGTTGTATTTGTGATCTACGTACATCCTAACGACAGGCTACCCACATAAATATACTATAGAGTGATGCATCAAACTACAATGTATAACGTAGGCGTGTTGGAATATTAAGGCTTGCCAGTATCACGTCTGCCAGTCCCTGACGTTCACTGCTGCAGACGAGTAATTGCGGGGCGTGACTATCTTTGTAGACGCGTAATTGAACAGTTTCTAGCACTGTATGACCACGTGATCTGGAGGCAATAGCTGCCGCGTGTAGAGGCACGTGTACCCCTGGCGGGGCGCTATGCTTGAGAGACGCCTCCTTCCTGCACCGTCGCCCGATCACGCATGCGCAGAGACGCTCATAGCGATCCCGGACTTAAACCAATTCGGTTTACTATCAATTATTTGGGGAACTGAAGGAGTAATATTTGAACTATCACCACCAATAATTATATTGGATAATAATACCTTTTCTCGTAAGGCAAATTGTTCTAATTAACATTCCACAAATTGAACGAGAAGGGTCAACTTGTAATTATTTTACGCCACAGTAATATTTTACTTCGAGCTCAGCACGCATAAGCACGCGAAATGGTTATTTATTTCATAATGAACAATAATCTTAGAAAGAAAGAGTAATTAACTGAGTTCTATATATCTCCACCATGTGTGGGAGACGTCATGTCTGCTATCGACGCTTGGCGCCATGACGGCTGGGAAGATTCTGACTAAATTCTGCCTTACTATGGAAACGCTAACGCTGTTAATTCTACGTATTAGTGTTATTAGTAAATATTAACATTAGGAGTTAAGGGAAAATAATCTGTTGGTTATTTCCAACATGGAGACCATAGCTTAGGATTAGGGGAAATATCAGCTCAAATCATCGTGAAAGTTGACTGTGTGAGCGTCTGGCGTATATAGTCCTAGTTCTGCCCCAGGCTGTCAGCTCCCCCAGGGCACGCTGTCACCCCCCAGGGCACGCTGTTACCCCCCATGGCACGCTGTCACCCCCAGGGCACGCTGTCACATCCCAGGACACACTACAACACCCCAGGACATGCTACAGCACCCCAGGACACGCTACAACACCCCGGGGCATGCTACAACACCCCAGGAGACGCTACAACATCCCAGGACACGCTACAACACCCCGGGGCATGCTACAACATCCCAGGACACGCTACAACATCCCGGGACACGCTACAACATCCCAGGACAGGCTACAACATCCCGGGACACGCTACAACATCCCAGGACACGCTACAACACCCCGGGGCATGCTACAACATCCCTAGACACGCTACAACACCCCGGGCATGCTACAACATCCCAGGACACACTACAACATCCCAGGACACGATACAACACCCCGGGGCATGCTACAACATGCCAGGACACGCTACAACACCCCGGGGCATGCTACAACATCCCAGGACACGCTACAACACCCCGGGGCATGCTACAACATGCCAGGACACGCTACAACACCCCGGGGCATGCTACAACATCCCAGGGGCATGCTACAACATCCCAGGACACGCTACAACACCCTGGGGCATGCTACAACATCCCAGGACACGCTACAACACCCCGGGGCATGCTACAACATCCCAGGGCATGCTACAACATCCCAGGACACGCTACAACACCCCGGGGCATGCTACAACATCCCAGGGCATGCTACAACATCCCAGGACACGCTACAACACCCTGGGGCATGCTACAACATCCCAGGAGACGCTACAACATCCCAGGACACGCTACAACACCCCGGGGCATGCTACAACATCCCAGGACACGCTACAACACCCCGGGACACGCTACAACATCCCAGGACACGCTACTACACCCCGGGGCATGCTACAACATCCCAGGAGACGCTACAACACCCCGGGGCATGCTACAACATCCCAGGACACGCTACTACACCCCGGAGCATGCTACAACATCCCAGGACACGCTACAACATCCCAGGGCATGCTACAACATCCCAGGACACGCTACAACACCCCGGGGCATGCTACAACATCCCAGGACACGCTACAACACCCCGGGCATGCTACAACATCCCAGGACACGCTACAACACCCCGGGGCATGCTACAACATCCCAGGACACGCTACAACACCCCGGGGCATGCTACAACATCCCAGGACACGCTACAACACCCCGGGGCATGCTACAACATCCCAGGACACGCTACAACACCCCGGGGCATGCTACAACATCTCCAGACACTTGTCTACTCTTAACTTCCGTCACTGTTAGGTCTCAGAGCTCAGCAGTGGTCCTCACTGCCGCACCCAGCTGTGATACACTCACTGTTACTGCTTGTGGTGGTAACCTGTCCTTAGGCTTGGGCACGTCCAACCGGCTGTCGACCCCAAGCAGGCCTCCGTCCTAATGTTAATGGACTGCGTGTTCCAACATTTTATTTTCTCAAATGTAAGTTAAAATAATAATCCATTCTAGAATGGGATGAATAGTTCGGTCTAACTAAGGTTAGGTGATTAGGTTCTGTTCACCAGTCCGTGGGTGAAGCATTTAGACCAACCCGTCCTCGACTCAAGTCCATTACATCCAGCGGTCGCCCCCACAGACGCATTCATAAATTTTAACATGCTGTTCATTCAGAACAAGAATTTTCTCAAATATAAATTAATATTATAATATATTAGCATATTGTGCATATATAGGCATAGGTTAGGTTAGGTTAGGTGTTTAGGTTCGGTTGGCGATTATTTGCATTTGTAGTACGTGGGTGAAGCATTTATAGCGAAGTGGTTCGAACAAAACTCGTCAGTGAAGCACTTGTTCCGGAAGTGTTCGAACGAAATCAGTTGTGAGTCGTGTGTAAACCGTTTTTCATTCATAAACAGGGGGTTTGGCGGGTGCATGGAATCACTTTTGGATCTTTGTTTGGAGGACGGGCTGTTTAGAGAGGTGGGAGTGGAGCAGAGGACGTGACTGAAGCACTGCTCGAGACAGTTGTATGGGTCATCAGTTGTGACTCGTGTGTGTAAAGCATTTTTCATTCATAAACCAGGTGTTTGGCGGCTGGATTAACAAGCATTTGGCCTTTGTTAATGGGGTCGGGCCGGTTGTAACCCGTCCTCATAAACAAAGGCCAAAGTCCATTACATGCAGCCGGCAAACCATCTGTTTATGAATGAAAAACTGTTTACACACGACTCTCACAACCCGTCCTCGACTCAAGTCCATTACATCCAGCGGTCAACCCCACAGACGCATTCATAAATTTTAACATGCTGTTTATTCAAAACGGGAATTTTCCCAAGTATAAATTAATATAATAATATATTAGCATATTGTGCATATATAGGCATAGGATAGGTTAGGTTAGGTGTTTAGGTTCTGTTGGCGATTATTTGTATTTGTAGTACGTGGGTGAAGCATTTACAGCGTTGAGGTTCGAACAGAGGTCGTCAGCGATGGGTCGAACATCATCAGTTGAGACAGCCCGTCCTCCAAACAAAGACCCAAAAGTGATTCCATGCACCCGCCAAACCCCCTGTTTATGAATGAAAAGCGGTTTACACACGACTCACAACTGCTGACGTTCGAACATATCCGGAACAAGTGCTTCACTGACGAATTTTGTTCGAATCACAACGCTATAAATGCTTCACCCACGTACTACAAATACAAATAATCGCCAACAGAACCTAAACACCTAACCTAACCTATGTCTATATATGCTAATATATTATAATATTAATTTATACTTGAGAAAATTCCCGTTTTGAATGAACAGCATGTTAAAATTTATGAATGCGTCTGTGGGGTTGACCGCTGAATGTAATGGACTTGAGTCGAGGACGGGTTGCCCGTCCTCTAAACAAAGACCCAAAAGTGATTCCAAGTACCCGCCAAGCCCCCTGTTTATGAATAAAAAATGGTTTATACGACTCACACCTGTTGACGTTCGAACACTTCCGGAACAAGTGCTTCACTGACGAATTTTGTTCGAACCACAACGGTGTCAAGTTGGTTGGTTGATGAGGACGGGTTGGTTGGTTGATGAGGACGGGTTGGTTGGTTGATGAGGACGGGTTGGTTGGTTGATGAGGACGGGTTGGTTGATGAGGACGGGTTGGTTGATGAGGACGGGCTGGTTGATGAGGACGGGTTGGTTGATGAGGACGGGCTGGTTGATGAGGACGGGCTGGTTGATGAGGACGGGTAGGTTGATGAGGACGGGTTGGTTGATGAGGACGGGCTGGTTGATGAGGACGGGCTGGTTGATGAGGACGGGTAGGTTGATGAGGACGGGCTGGTTGATGAGGACGGGTAGGTTGATGAGGACGGGTTGGTTGACGTGGACGGGTAGGTTGATGAGGACGGGTTGGTTGATGAGGACGGGCTGGTTGATGAGGACGGGCTGGTTGATGAGGACGGGTAGGTTGGTGAGGACGGGCTGGTTGATGAGGACGGGCTGGTTGATGAGGACGGGTTGGTTGATGAGGACGGGTAGGTAGATGAGGACGGTTTAGCGAGTGTGTGAAGCCAGGCTCATTGAGACTTCCCATATGGCTCCTGTGATGGTGGCCAGAGAGTGCTATACCTCTCAGGTGTACACATACACCACCTGCACCACCTGGGTGGTGTCAGATGACACCTATGCCACCCAGCTAGACCACCTGTGCCACCCAGCTGTGCCCTTACACCCCTGGGCCCAACCGGCTACACAGAGATGCCAAAGACGGAGGCCCCGTGGATGCTGTGTACAAGATGAAGACCTGGCACTCTGCGGCTCCCCCGATCAATGGCACCTCCCGACACTCCCTGACTATCCGCCTCACTTTCTTGCCCTTGTCTTCCTATCCTACCTCTTTCTTGCCCCTATGTCTTACTATCCCCACCTCTCTTGGTCACCACTATCCGCTTGTTAACATGCCTTGTTAGACTCGGGCTGTTGCCTGTTCAGGGTCAGTGGTTAAGGCTGGTTGATGGGACGTTAAGAGGGCCAGCTGTCTCAGTCCAGTGCCAGCTGTCTCAGTCCAGTGCCAGCTGTCTCAGTCCAGTGCCAGCTGTCTCAGTCCAGTGCCAGCTGTCACAGTCCAGTGCCAGCTGTCTCAGTCCAGTGCCAGCTGTCTCAGTCCAGTGCCAGCTGTCTCAGTCCAGTGCCAGCTGTCTCAGTCCAGTGCCAGCTGTCACAGTCCAGTGCCAGCTGTCTCAGTCCAGTGCCAGCTGTCACAGTCCAGTGCCAGCTGTCTCAGTCCAGTGCCAGCTGTCATAGTCCAGTGCCAGCTGTCTCAGTCCAGTGCCAGCTGTCTCAGTCCAGTGCCAGCTGTCTCAGTCCAGTGCCAGCTGTCACAGTCCAGTGCCAGCTGTCTCAGTCCAGTGCCAGCTGTCTCGATCAGTCCAGTGCCAGCTGTCTCAGTCCAGTGCCAGCTGTCTCAGTCCAGTGCCAGCTGTCTCAGTCCAGTGCCAGCTGTCACAGTCCAGTGCCAGCTGTCTCAGTCCAGTGCCAGCTGTCTCAGTCCAGTGCCAGCTGTCACAGTCCAGTGCCAGCTGTCTCAGTCCAGTGCCAGCTGTCTCAGTCCAGTGCCAGCTGTCTCAGTCCAGTGCCAGCTGTCTCAGTCCAGTGCCAGCTGTCTCAGTCCAGTGCCAGCTGTCACAGTCCAGTGCCAGCTGTCACAGTCCAGTGCCAGCTGTCTCAGTCCAGTGCCAGCTGTCACAGTCCAGTGCCAGCTGTCTCAGTCCAGTGCCAGCTGTCTCAGTCCAGTGCCAGCTGTCTCAGTCCAGTGCCAGCTGTCTCAGTCCAGTGCCAGCTGTCACAGTCCAGTGCCAGCTGTCTCAGTCCAGTGCCAGCTGTCTCAGTCCAGTGCCAGCTGTCTCAGTCCAGTGCCAGCTGTCTCAGTCCAGTGCCAGCTGTCACAGTCCAGTGCCAGCTGTCTCAGTCCAGTGCCAGCTGTCACAGTCCAGTGCCAGCTGTCTCAGTCCAGTGCCAGCTGTCATAGTCCAGTGCCAGCTGTCTCAGTCCAGTGCCAGCTGTCTCAGTCCAGTGCCAGCTGTCTCAGTCCAGTGCCAGCTGTCACAGTCCAGTGCCAGCTGTCTCAGTCCAGTGCCAGCTGTCTCGATCAGTCCAGTGCCAGCTGTCTCAGTCCAGTGCCAGCTGTCTCAGTCCAGTGCCAGCTGTCTCAGTCCAGTGCCAGCTGTCACAGTCCAGTGCCAGCTGTCTCAGTCCAGTGCCAGCTGTCTCAGTCCAGTGCCAGCTGTCACAGTCCAGTGCCAGCTGTCTCAGTCCAGTGCCAGCTGTCTCAGTCCAGTGCCAGCTGTCTCAGTCCAGTGCCAGCTGTCTCAGTCCAGTGCCAGCTGTCTCAGTCCAGTGCCAGCTGTCTCAGTCCAGTGCCAGCTGTCACAGTCCAGTGCCAGCTGTCTCAGTCCAGTGCCAGCTGTCACAGTCCAGTGCCAGCTGTCTCAGTCCAGTGCCAGCTGTCTCAGTCCAGTGCCAGCTGTCTCAGTCCAGTGCCAGCTGTCTCAGTCCAGTGCCAGCTGTCAGCTGTCACAGTCCAGTGCCAGCTGTCTCAGTCCAGTGCCAGCTGTCTCAGTCCAGTGCCAGCTGTCTCAGTCCAGTGCCAGCTGTCTCAGTCCAGTGCCAGCTGTCACAGTCCAGTGCCAGCTGTCACAGTCCAGTGCCAGCTGTCTCAGTCCAGTGCCAGCTGTCACAGTCCAGTGCCAGCTGTCACAGTCCAGTGCCAGCTGTCACAGTCCAGTGCCAGCTGTCACAGTCCAGTGCCAGCTGTCTCAGTCCAGTGCCAGCTGTCTCAGTCCAGTGCCAGCTGTCTCAGTCCAGTGCCAGCTGTCACAGTCCAGTGCCAGCTGTCTCAGTCCAGTGCCAGCTGTCTCAGTCCAGTGCCAGCTGTCACAGTCCAGTGCCAGCTGTCTCAGTCCAGTGCCAGCTGTCACAGTCCAGTGCCAGCTGTCACAGTCCAGTGCCAGCTGTCACAGTCCAGTGCTAATCACATTTTATCTTTATATTTGTTATCTATGACATTATCTGTTATCTCTCTCTTCCCCTCTCTCTCTTCCCCTCTCTCTCTCTTCCCCTCTCTCTCTCTCTTCCCCTCTCTCTCTCTCTCTCTCTCTCTCTCTCTCTCTCTCTCTCTCTCTCTCTCTCTCTCTCTCTCTCTCTCTCTCTCTCTCTCTCTCTCTCTCTCTCTCGGTAATGACACCACTACAAGGAAATCACACGTCCTGGTGTAAAGGTCGGGAGAATGAGTGGTTGCAGGTTTAGCAAGCGTGACCTTACCTCAGAGAGGACTCCCCTGCCTAACTCCCCCAACCTCCACCCCTAACCCCTAACCTCCCCCCTCCCAAGTGTGGAAGACTGCGAGCTTGAACTTTACCCTAAATGCCCACTGAAACATTAAATCCACTCGGAAATGTTTGCACATGCAGTTCTTGTGTGTTAATGTGGGGTTGAGGCCTGGAGTTATAACTACTCGTAAAGCTTTTTGTGTGATTCCGGCATTCAAGTTATCTTTGTGTCATTGAGTGCTGACATTACCGCTCCCTCCTCCTCCTCCCTGCCACTCTCGTTGCTCTGGGCTCGGGTTGAACTCTAGTAGCCATTATTCAGACCATTTATTCATCTCCGTCGTGACCACATCTAAACAACATCGACAAAAAGGATACCACTTTCTCAGTCCGGTGATTATCTTGGAGTAATTATTCCAAGATAATTGGAATAATTAACCTAAGATAAGATAATTACCGCAATCCATCTTATCATGGGAAAGATGAATTGTGGTGCCCCGCTGTTCACTTCCCTTCACACTAATTGTTGTCCATTACTTGAAACTCTTGACCTCCAGCTCGCCAGGTCTTTACTCAACCATTTCACGTCCCGTTACAAGAGCATATTTTCTAAAGTTCATATAAGGTCCTCCTCCTCTTGTGTGTGGCACGGTGTCAATACCTTTCTGGCAGTCTAGAAAGATGATGTCAGCCCTCCATTTTTCTCTTCATCATTGATATAAAAAATTAACTGATTTCCTATTTACTTGATAATTGTATTGAGTGAACACTCTTTCCAGGGCCTAAACCAGAAAATAAAATATATATCCAGCAGAAGGTCAGATGAGGATTTAAATGCACAGCTGCTCAAGTTATTATTATAAACCATCTTAATGATTGCATTAATGTAAACATAATTATTGCATTTAAATAAGCAATTGAAAACAATTCAATAGATTTTTTTTTTGTAATAGTAGCGAACAATTTCATTTAAATATGTACGCAGGTGTATATCAAGAGGAGCCTTGCCTCTGCCCAGTGTCCAGCAGAGAGAGAGCCTCATAATCTATTGACTCATAATTCTGCTGCCTTTACTTGTCCACCGGTTGGAGTCACATCATGCCCATGGAGAAATGGGAATAATGTGACTCCATTAGATAAGCTAAAGGAACAACAGACCACTGCAAGGAATTCTCTATTTTTCACATGTGGTTTTTCCACATACTTGGATCAGTGTTTTTGTGATCATTGTTGCACATACATATATATATATATATATATATATATATATATATATATATATATATATATATATATATATATATATATATATATATATATATATATATATATATATAACTTGCTCTTCTGTCAAGTTACATAATTAATAACATAGGCTTAAGAACCATATATGTGACCTGCGTCATGTAACGTGCGACGTTTCTCTCCCCCACAGCTTATGCGTCAATAAGGCGGACGTGCACGGAGAAGTTGCAGATCAACCTGTTTATGGTGGACCACGTGTGCATGATGGAAAGTAGCGGCCATGGCCACATGTGCTTCTGTGAGGAGGACTTGTGTAACGCAGCCCCATCCTCCCTGCGACCCCCCCTCCTCTGGGCCTCCTTCCTTCCCCTCCTCTCACTCCTCTCCTCTCTCTTTCTGCTCTCTAGATAGACTATCTCAGCTCTCCTCCTCCTCCTCTCTCTCTCTCTCTCTCTCTCTCTCTCCATTTATATCCTCAGAGCCTTCTTGTCACTCACCTTCATCTTGATGCTTCCGCTTCTATCACCTCGTTTTCTTTACGGTCACAAAGCCTCTTACTTGTGCGAGTATCTCGCCCTGTGCTTGTATCCACTTTGTCTGCTTCATATTATCTAGTTTTATCTATTTTTCAGTCTCATTCTACGTAGTTAAGTCTTTTTTTTATTTTCACACTCGCAGAAATCACTCCCAGAGAACTCTTGCTGCACGACCCAAAATTTATCCTGGTACCCTGTGAGGTCCTGAGACCCTGCTATCTTCCCTGGTGCCCCCTGCCATCTTTCCTGGTGCCCCCCCCTGCCATCCTGGTGCCCCCTGCCATCCTCCCTGGTGCCCCCTGCCATCCTCCCTGGTGCCCCCTGCCATCCTGGTGCCCCCTGCCATCCTCCCTGGTGCCCCCTGCCATCCTCCCTGGTGCCCCCTGCCTTGCTTCCCTCGCCGCCTCTTCCGTCACTCCCGCCACCGCCTCCCTCCCGCTCCTGCCATTCCTTCCAGGGCTTCTGCCGCTCCATAAGCGTTATTCCCTTTGCTTGTGCTGGCTGTACACTTCATTATCCGTGCTTATACGACTTCTTGGCGTCCTCATCATGTTTGATTGTGACTCCTACTCCTCCTCCTCCTCTTCCACGACCTGTTGGCTTCCATCCCGTGTCCTCCTCCGGTGTCCCCTGCGCTACGACGCGTAGCTGAACGTTGTTTTGGTGTATTCTTGGTAGTGTACGCACAGTGAGGAGGGTAGGACGCGCTCGGCACACCCACTCACCTGCCTCCCGCAACCCCTCTCTGCGCCATGCACTCTCGCTCACTGCCTGCACTGAACACTATAGTTATCGTGTCTCACTGTCAACTTTTCTTGGTTCTACAGCACATCTGTCACTGTTTTCCAAATTAATGTTTCTTGCGCATATTCTCGCTCATTTTTTTATTCTATCTGTTTTTACTTGGTCTCTTGCCTATTTGTGAGAGCCGGTGTTGTACTCCTGTGAGCTTGGATGTCGACCCCACCTTAGACTGGGATAAAATTCCTCTTGTTATGGAAGCACCATGTAACTAAAATAACTCTTAGAGTGGTGCGCTGCCTGAGTGTGGCTACTGCCCCTCTTCTTGACTGTCAGCACACATCAGTCTTTATAGGAAATATACTCAAAAAAACTCTGCGGAGATTGCTTCACTTGTCCCAACAAGACCTGGTCTGGTAGAGGACTGGTAGACTAGTAGAGGGTCTTGTCTACCTGGGCGATTGGTGGCAGAGGAACAGCATTGGTGTAGAATGGGAAGCTTCCATGACTGGAGGGGTTTTACCTCATGTTGTAGAGGTAAACATGTGTTAACTTTAAGTCTTAGACTCAGCGTGTCAAGTCGGGCAGCCTTGGAGGGCCTTAAGACTTTAAGTAGTGTTTATAGCGGTGTCTTCAACACTGGACACAGGGGGGCCCAGCTCCAAGCTTTTCTGCATCTATCAGATTATTGGGAAGGTACATCCTTCACGCCCATCCACCCCTACTTACCCCAGGTTCTGATAACCATTGTGATAACATATGTTGACGACTAGTGCATAATTCTTGCGTTGTTATATTGCATAGACACTAGTAACGCGGACAACGGTCGGTAGCTGTTAATAGTTCTTACTGGCCGGGTTTGCTGGTGATTAAGTGATTATCTCCCCTCTCGTTCCAAAATAGCTTTATTATAATATAAACTGTTATTAATTATAAGAGTTAATTCCTTTTGTTATGGACAAGAAACGGTTTTATTGGTTTTCATATTAAGCTTTAAAACCCGTGTGGTGTGTGAAGAGGGTTCAAGGGTGAGCCACACACTGTTGTTATCGTGTATGACCCGTGGTCCTCGTGCTCAGCCACCACTCATTCTCTCAGTATTCAGTAGATAGTAGAGATCCCGGTTTACTATTTCTAATAACGAAGTCACTGGCTGTCCAATCATAAGTCTCGCTTCATAATACGCCAGTGACATGTCGTCCATTTCACTTATCCCACTTTCCATTATGTCAATACATTTCTCGTCCAGTGATCATGTCCCGGTAACCATGACGCCTGTGGTTTGTTATTCCAAAGAGGACACCTAATATTCCAAATTTAGACATCCCATTCCTGCCCCCGGGAGAAATATAATGGGGCTGCAAACGACTCCTCTAAACAGTTACTCTCGGGACGCACATGGTAATCCTTTGCTCGTCACCCAAGTGTCGCTTATTGAACAGCCGGCGTGAGGAGTAAAGGAATACGCCGTGTGGTCAACGGTGGACACCTTCCACTATTCACTCGCCGTCCACACACAAGAGGAGAGTATTTGCAGCGTCTTCGGTACAGCAGGGAGGCAGGCGGGGCTGTGGGCGCCCCCGGGGCACACACACACACACACATACTGAGGTCTCCGTCTACCACTAAGAGCGACCTGCTGCGCACTGGCCAACCCTGACATGCCTTAAGGAATGGAAGACCTAACGCCACGATAATACAATATTTCCATTGTGGCCATGGAAACGTCTTCGGAACCAGTTAGAAGCAGCTTTTATAGACATTAAAACACGTGTGTTGGTGCCAAAAGACAGCCAGACTCCAAAGATTTTAAGTTACAACATCAAATTAAAAAACCAGTTACCGGCACCAGGCGACGCATTCCTGATGTATTCAACATGAGCGCATCTTGCCGTAGGACGCGACGACAAACGCCCATATTAACGCCACAAGAATTCTGGGTAAATCAAAGTTACTTGGCAGTAATAGAGAACACGAGAAGAAACCCCTCAAATCTTTTTAAATCAGCTAATAAATGCCTTCGCCACCACCAACACTGCCGCCTGCGTTGTCGTCTGTGCCGCCGCCGCCGCCAGCTGGCCTGCCTCCTCCTGCAACAGCTGGGGAGTAGCCAACACTCCCAATAACAGCTGGGCAGACGCCATCACCACCTGCATCAGCTGTGCTGTATCATCGCAGCTGTTGCAGGTGGTGATGGGATGCCATTATCATAACCTGCATAACGTGGCCAATTATCATAGCCACTTGCAGCATTCAGACCACCAATATATCCACCTGCAGTGGTCGGACCACCACTATATCCACCTGCAGTGGTCGGACCACCACTATATCCACCTGCAGTGGTCGGACCACCACTATATCCACCTGCAGTGGTCGGACCACCACTATATCCACCTGCAGTGGTCGGACCACCACTATATCCACCTGCAGTGGTCGGACCACCACTATATCCACCTGCAATGTTCGGACCACCACTACAACCTGCAGAAAATAATGTGCCACTGTTACCACCTACAGCAGTTGGACCTCACAAACAACACGTGTAATAGATAGGAAGCCATCAGTGTCATCTGTAGCAACTGGACCATCACCATCAGAGTAAGCTGGACTAACACAATCACCACCTGAGCACCATCTGAGCTGAGCAACAGCTGGGCTATCAACATCAGCAACAGCTAAGCCGTCAACAATCATCAGCAACAGCAGGGCCCTCACCATCAGCAGCAGCAGGGCCGTCACCATCAGCACCTTCATCAGGTGAAGGGTCCCCCACCTGCAACAGCAGCTGTGTCGTGCCATTGGGGCGTGGAGCAGAGCGAGGCTGGACACCGACCATCGTCTTCTCAAGGTTGGTACTGTTCCCGCTACCACGCTCTCTCTCTCTCTCTCTCTCTCTCTTTCTCTCTCTCTTTCTCTCTCACTCACCCGAGTACAAGTGCTGCCACCTGGCCTTACCCATCGACGTCTCACGACGCTCCTTGAGACAAAAGCAATACCATGATGGACCTAATATTGTACTTTGATTCCTATTCTGGTAAATTAGAGATTAGTGTCCGTTCCTTTCAGTCACTCCTCGGCCGCAGAAAGCCCACCAAATGCCTTGGTTGAAGATGGGTCAGGTTAGGTGCAACTCGGTATGACTCTGCGGGTGCCTGGCCCAGCAGTTTCAAGTCCTGGGATATGTTGACAATTGTGTGGCAGTGTTGTAACCACAGCACCTCCCCATCAACACCCACACCACCACTACCCTGCCCCTCCCATCCAACCCCCCTTCCCCTCTCATACACCCCCCCCTCCTCCTCCTCACATACACCTCGCCCTCATCCATGCCAATCTCCACCCCACACCCTCACACCTAACACCACAACAACATATGATGTAGCCCCTCGGACTGAAGGTACTCCTCCAAGTGCTCCTCCAGGTGCTCCTCCAGGTGCTCCTCCAGGTGCTCCTGCAGGTGCTCCTCCAGGTGCTCCTACAGGTACTCCTCCAGGTGCTCCTCCAGGTGCTCCTCCAGGTGCTCCTCCAGGTGCTCCTCCAGGTGCTCCTCCAGGTGCTCCTCCGGGTGCTCCTCCAGGTGCTCCTCCAGGTGCTCCTCCAGGTGCTCCTCCGGGTGCTCCTCCAGGTGCTCCTCCAGGTGCTCCTCCAGGTGCTCCTGCAGGTGCTCCTCCAGGTGCTCCTCCAGGTGCTCCTGCAGGTGCTCCTCCGGGTGCTCCTCCAGGTGCTCCTCCAGGTGCTCCTCCAGGTGCTCCTCCAGGTGCTCCTCCAGGTGCTCCTCCAGGTGCTCCTCCGGATGCTCCTCCAGGTGCTCCTCCAGGTGCTCCTCCAGATGCTCCTCCAGATGCTCCTCCAGGTGCTCCTCCAGGTGCTCCTGCAGGTGCTCCTCCGGGTGCTCCTCCAGGTGCTCCTCCAGGTGCTCCTCCAGATGCTCCTCCAGATGCTCCTCCAGATGCTCCTCCAGGTGCTCCTGCAGGTGCTCCTCCGGGTGCTCCTCCAGGTGCTCCTCCAGGTGCTCCTCCAGGTGTTCCTCCAGATGCTCCTCCAGGTGCTCCTGCAGGTGCTCCTCCGGGTGCTCCTCCGGGTGCTCCTCCAGGTGCTCCTCCAGGTGCTCCTCCAGATGCTCCTCCAGGTGCTCCTCCGGGTGCTCCTCCAGGTGCTCCTCCAGGTGCTCCTCCAGATGCTCCTCCAGGTGCTCCTCCAGGTGCTCCTCCGGGTGCTCCTCCAGGTGCTCCTCCAGGTGCTCCTCCAGGTGCTCCTCCAGGTGCTCCTCCAGGTGCTCATCCGGGTGCTCCTCCAGGTGCTCCTCCAGGTGCTCCTCCAGGTGCTCCTCCAGGTGCTCCTCCATGGGCCAGCTGTTGTTTATCACCTGTGATGTTGATGTGTGTCTCTCACTGTCATACTCTCTCCCTTCACTGAGAATGTTGGTGTGTTCATGTCTAGTGTGGTGTTGTAGTCCTGTCTAGCACGGTGTTAGCGTAGTCATGTCTAGCACGGAGTAGGCGTAGTCCTCAGTACTACTCACACTGTTCTGCTTACTGTCAGTTTCGTGGTGTTCTGGTGACTGGTAGCCTGAGTGTGTTCTGGAGACCGTCAGTCTGAGTGTGTTCTGGGGACTGTTAGCTTGAGTGTGTTCTGGGGACTGTTAGCCTGAGTGTGTTCTGGGGACTGTTAGCCTGAGTGTGTTCTGGGGACTGTTAGCCTGAGTGTGTTCTGGGGACTGGTAGCCTGAGTGTGTTCTGGGGACTGTTAGCCTGAGTGTGTTCTGGGGACTGTTAGCCTGAGTGTGTTCTGGGGACTGTTAGCCTGAGTGTGTTCTGGGGACTGTTAGCCTGAGTGTGTTCTGGGGACTGTTAGCCTGAGTGTGTTCTGGGGACTGTTAGCCTGAGTGTGTTCTGGGGACTGTTAGCCTGAGTGTGTTCTGGGGACTGTTAGCCTGAGTGTGTTCTGGGGACTGTTAGCCTGAGTGTGTTCTGGGGAGTGTTAACCTGAGTGTGTTCTGGGGACTGTTAGCCTGAGTGTGTTCTGGGGACTGTTAGCCTGAGTGTGTTCTGGGGACCGTCAGTCTGAGTGTGTTCTGGGGACCGTCAGCCTGAGTGTGTTCTGGGGACTGTCAGTCTGAGTGTGTTCTTGGGACTGTCAGCCTGAGTGTGTTCTGGGGACTGTCAGCCTGAGTGTGTTCTGGGGACTGTTAACCTGAGTGTGTTCTGGGGACTGTTAGCCTGAGTGTGTTCTGGGGACTGTTAGCCTGAGTGTGTTCTGGGGACCGTCAGTCTGAGTGTGTTCTGGGGACTGTCAGCCTGAGTGTGTTCTGGGGACCGTCAGCCTGAGTGTGTTCTGGGGACTGTTAGCCTGAATGTGTTCTGGGGACTGTTAGCCTGAGTGTGTTATGGGGACTGTCAGCCTGAGTGTGTTCTGGGGACCGTCAGTCTGAGTGTGTTCTGGGGACTGTCAGCCTGAGTGTGTTCTAGGGCCCGTCAGCCTGAGTGTGTTCTGGGGACCGTCAGTCTGAGTGTGTTCTGGGGACTGTCAGCCTGAGTGTGTTCTAGGGCCCGTCAGCCTGAGTGTGTTCTGGGGACCGTCAGTCTGAGTTTAAGGATCACCCTTAAACGTACACAGTACCGTGACCACCGCACCAATGATCGTCTACCGCACCATTGGTGCGGTGGTCACGGTACTGTGTACGTTTAGGGGTGATCCTGAACGGCATGGGTTCGAATCCTGGCCGGGTCAAAGAGTTCTTAGTGATATATGGCTTGCTTGTTCATGCAGCTTTCTCACATATATATATATATATATATATATATATATATATATATATATATATATATATATATATATATATATATTAAGGCACAACTCTCCTAAACACGAGAGTCAAGTATACAACTTTAGAACACTTTCCCACCAGGAGACTCGAACCCTAGCCAGCACAGAAGCCTTCCAGCAACTGGCATAACAGGTACGCCTTAACCCTCTCCACCACCTGCTCAGACCCTTAAAAGAGATGGTAATTTCGGAGTATTTAAATACCACAAAGATCACCACCTCCCAAGAGCACTAGAGCAAGTGAGGGGTCATTTAGACGTTAATTTCATCAAGTCCCTGTTAATATGGGAAGACACAGTGTCTATGCTTAAGGCACAACTCTCCTAAACACGAGAGTCAAGTATACAACTTTAGAACACTTTCCCACCAGGAGACTCGAACCCTAGCCAGCACAGAAGCCTTCCAGCAACTGGCATAACAGGTACGCCTTAACCCTCTCCACCACCTGCTCAGACCCTTAAAAGAGATGGTAATTTCGGAGTATTTAAATACCACAAAGATCACCACCTCCCAAGAGCACTAGAGCAAGTGAGGGGTCATTTAGACGTTAATTTCATCAAGTCCCTGTTAATATGGGAAGACACAGTGTCTATGCTTAAGGCAAAACTCTCCTAAACACGAGAGTCAAGTATACAACTTTAGAACACTTTCCCACCAGGAGACTCGAACCCTAGCCAGCACAGAAGCCTTCCAGCAACTGGCACAACTCTCCTAAACTCGTGTTTAGGAGAGTTGTGCCTTAAGCATAGACACTGTGTCTTCCCATATTAACAGGGACTTGATGAAATTAACGTCTAAATGACCCCTCACTTGTTCTAGTGCTCTTGGGAGGTGGTGATCTTTGTGGTATTTAAATACTCCGAAATTACCATCTCTTTTAAGGGTCTGAGCAGGTGGTGGAGAGGGTTAAGGCGTACCTGTTATGCCAGTTGCTGGAAGGCTTCTGTGCTGGCTAGGGTTCGAGTCTCCTGGTGGGAAAGTGTTCTAAAGTTGTATACTTGACTCTCGTGTTTAGGAGAGTTGTGCCTTAAGCATAGACACTGTGTCTTCCCATATTAACAGGGACTTGATGAAATTAACGTCTAAATGACCCCTCACTTGCTCTAGTGCTCTTGGGAGGTGGTGATCTTTGTGGTATTTAAATACTCCGAAATTACCATCTCTTTTAAGGGTCTGAGCAGGTGGTGGAGAGGGTTAAGGCGTACCTGTTATGCCAGTTGCTGGAAGGCTTCTGTGCTGGCTAGGGTTCGAGTCTCCTGGTGGGAAAGTGTTCTAAAGTTGTATATATATATATATATATATATATATATATATATATATATATATATATATATATATATATATATATATATATATATATATATATATATGTCGTACCTAGTAGCCAGAACGCACTTCTCAGCCTACTATGCAATGCCAGATTTGCCTAATAAGCCAAGTTTTCCTGAATTAATATATTTTCTCTAATTTTTTTCTTATAAAATGAGAAAGCTACCTATTTCGTTATGTATGAGGTCAATTTTTTTTATAGGAGTTAAAATTAACGTAGATATATGACCGAACCTAACCAACTCTACCTAACCTAACCTATCTTATAGGTTAGGCTGGGTTAGGTAGCCGAAAAAGTTAGGTTAGGTTAGGTTAGGTAGGTTAGGTAGTCGAAAAACAATTAATTCATGAAAACATGGCTTATTAGGCAAATCGGGCCTTGCATAGTAGGCTGAGAAGTGCGTTCTGGCTACTAGGTACGACATATATATATATATATATATATATATATATATATATATATATATATATATATATATATATATATATATATATATATATATATATATATATATATATATATATATATATATATACATTTATGTATCTCTTACTTTGATAGCATAAGATAGCTGCTATAGAAGCTTGTGTGTTATCAAGCACTTAACCATTGAAGGTGATTAAAATGCTTTTATAAGCACAGGTTATAGTTACCTCACATACATTGTATAATTGATACATTACAATCAGATTACAAGCTCAATCTTGGGTACAAGTCCAATATATCATCAAGTTTTCCAGTACTCATATAGTATTTACAGAGTTCAGCATACCTCAGCCCAGGAGAGCGAAAGTCAGTCAATATGGGACATTCTACAATATAATGTTAAAGAGAGTGCATGTTTTCTCTTTCACAAAATTGACACACATGGTGTATTCCGACACTTTCACAAAGTTGACACATTGTGTACTCGAAATTTGGGTTTTGAGAAAGCTGCCAGATACGTCTATATCCCAGGCGTATTCTGGCCACTATAACATCACATTGACGAGTCCATGCTCTATTAGTCCCGTATGTGAATGTCTCCTCACGATATCTATCATAATGTCTAATTCTTCAACTTTCAGGTCTTTGTGAATTTGTTAGGTTTGTCGGATTTTCATTAGATATTTGTTTAAGTATTCTCTTTGTCACTACTAATGAAACACCCATAACAATTTCTACTACTTGTTTTCTACAGGCTGTCTTTGCAAGCATATCAACAGTGTCTTTCTTTGAGATGCCCACATGTGATGGTATCCAAAGGAATTTAATTTCAAATCTGTTTTCTTTAGCAGCTAAAAATATTCATTCGAATATCACTGACTATTTTCCGGGTGTTACTACTATGTGCGTTCAATGCCAGCAGTGCACATAGTAGTAGTAATAGTAGTTGGTGGTGTCGCCAGTGACAAGTTCCTAGGCAAAAAACAGTAAGTGAAATGTGGCAGGCCATGTACGTAGACTTTATGCACGTATCACGTATGCTTATTTTTGTTTCTCTTAGTTCAGTGTGTGTGTGTGCTTTCCTGTGTCAACGGAAGGTCACGTGGAGTCCATCTGACAAGTTTGAGTAAGTTGTTGGCCTCGAGGTGCACGACGGTGTGGATTAGGGATATTGAAGGTCAGATAATGCAAACTGATTGAGACTAACTGGACGAGACTACATAATACGAGCTGGTTGAGACTCTGTACTGGAGGGCACAAGCCGCAATCTGGTTGAGACTGATAATACTTTAGGCCGCATAATAAAACCTCGTGGGATTCATTGCGATTAAAAGTTAACTTAGTAGTCTCCGTGGTGTAGTTGGTAAGACACTCACATGGCGTTTGGAGAGCGCTTTGTCCTGGGTTCGTATCCTGGCCGGGGAGGATTTACTGGGTGTCAATCCTTAACTGTAGCCTCTGTTTACCCAACAGTAAAATGGGTACCTGGTTGTTAAACGATTTGGCGGGTCGTATTCCGGGGAACATAGGATTAAGGACCTGCCCGACACGCTATGTGTGCTAGTGGCTGTACAAGAATGTAACAACTCTTGTATATATATAAATACAAAATAAATAAAAATAATAACAAAAATAAAAACTTTTAATTTTATTTGAAAATTTGCTATACTTTCTTAAACATTTAGTTATCAAAACTTTGTTAGTGCATTTAACGTAAGAATCTTGATGGAAGTTAATAGGTATTATCTCTCCCCGAGGGGAGA